TTAAGGCAGTTAATAATGGGGCAACATGGCAGAACCAGGACATTTCCATGGTGATTTGTTAAAATGTATCATAAAGGGCTCTGGGAAAACTTGGGTCCATATTGAGAATTGGCTCTGAATATGGTGTTCTCAGCATCATTACGTGTTCTAAATTAGCAGTGAGTGTTAATAGGACAGAAATAGGATTTTCAGTTTCTTTAGCCAAGTAGTTAAAAATATTGAGTGTCTTGAAGAGTGTTGGAGGAATAAGCGGTCTCAAGGTGGTCCCAGAGACCCTCTGGAAATTGTTATAACTTTTATTATTTACAGGCTTAATGAGAATATTAAGTAAGGATTTCTTGGCTGTTTGTATTTAGAGGAGGCACTCTCTAATTTATTTTTTGATTTGCAGAGAAATAGAAAATGCTTCCATCTGCATTGGTTTCACTGGCCCTTAAAATAGCTTATGTATATTTGTTATGTTATATAACTTGTCACAACATTAGTCACCACTTCTTCCATAAGGCAACATGTAAACGATCATGGGTAAGCATGACTATAACTTATAATTATAGACCAATTTGTTCTTAGCATTTTAGTCAGCTTTGATCTTTTTTTTTTTTTTTTTTGAGAGACTGTTATAATCTTTGGCTCCATGTGATAGAACTCTGCCAGTTATTTGAACTGCACAAGAATCTTAGGTGGCTTATTACTTATTACTTACTGGAATGAGGCAGTACTAGGTAGTGAAAGACAAGGACGGGCAAGAATCGTTTCTGTGAATGCCTGTTTTCTTTGAACATGTCTTTCATACAAAAGCATTGTTGAAAGGATGAATTATTGAGATATTATTTGGGAGAATTCCTTTTAACTAGATTTGTGATTCTGAAATGTGGTCACAAGTCAAATAGCACCAGTAGGAGCTGGTTACTTTTTAGAAATGCTAAGTTTGAGTTCTGCCTCAGAAACTCTGTAAGTGGGGAGAGAAATCTGTCTTAGATTAGTCCCCTAGATAATTATAATCCATGCTAAAGTTTGAGACTCATGAAACTGGATGATCATATCATTTATTCAAATCTTTTAGACTTCAGGAAAGCTAGTCTGTATTTCCTTTATTCCTTAATATTTACTTGGTTAGGTATGGGGAAGGCACTACTTGGCATGAGAGGCAAGAAGCTTTTGTGTAGAAGAGGAACGCTAACCACAACCAACACTGGGATTGGTGTAATGTGGAGAATTAAATTTAGATGATGGAGAGGTGATGGCGACCATCTTTGTGAGGAGGCCAAGTATAAGCAGTTTTGAGTGACAGGAAGAGCCATCCTATGTGAAGATCAGTAAAAAAGATCCTAACAGGAATGAGCTCAGTGTGCTTGAAGGGCAGAAAGAAGTCCAGAGTACAGGCAGAGGCCAGATCCTGTAGGTTCCATGAGTTTTTTTTTGTTGTTGTTGTTATTGTTGTTTTAATACTCCCATTTTTTTGGATGTTGCAAAATACATACGACAAAATTTTCCATTTTATCTATTTTTAAGTGTTCAGTTCAATGGTATTAGATACATTCATATAATGACCTGTCACCACCATCTAGCTCTAGAGCTAGAAGTTTGAGTGTGTGGCATGAGAAGTTTGAGTATGTGGCATGAGAATGTGTCATGAGAAGTGGCATGAGAATGTGGCATGAGAAGTGGCATGAGAAGTTTGAGTATGTGGTTTGAGTATTTTAGCAGTGTTGACATAATCTGAATTAATGGATTCCTTGATACAAAATTGAAGTGTAATCAAGGGAGGAAAGGGTAGGAGCAAGATGCCTCTCAGGAGAGTAGTGTGGTAATTGGGGGTACTGAGACTGAGAAGCACTGTGATTCTGGGTGTTTATGTGTGTGTGTGCTTGGGGTAGATTGCTAGGCACTCTACCATTAAGTTACATTCCCAACTCTTGGATACATTAACATTTATTTTTAACTTATTTTATGTGTATGAGTGTTTTGCCTGTATGTATGTAAGTGTACCCATGTCAAGCAGTGCACAGAGGCCAGAAGAGGATATCGGATCCCCCTGGACCTGGAGTTACAGACCTTTGTTAGTCACCATGTGGGTGCTGGGAACTGAACCCTGGTCCTTTGCAAGAGTAGCCGGTGCTCCTCACTGCTGAGCCATCTCTGCAGCCCCATCTTCTGGATTCATTTTGATGGTGGAATCAACAGAACTTGCTGACTGGTTGATTTCAACATAAAAAGAGAGGAGTCAAAGATAATAGTTTTGTTGTTTTGAATGGTAGAGTTCTGGAGATGCAAGTTGGAGGGAAAAAAGTATATGTTAAAATGCTTTTTCAATGCCTAAGTGTGGATGTTGGGTAGGCTCAAAAAATCTGGAATCAAGAAGTCAAGGTTGAAGATAATATTTAGGATTTACAGGTTAATTAAAGCCATGAGACCAAATGAGATCATCTGAGAAATGAGTGTAGATGGGAGGAGTCTTGACCAAGTTCAAGAACAGGAGAACTTACATGAGAATTTAGCAAAGAAGTGGCCAGTAAGGAAGGCAGAGAACCAGTAGAGTCATGTCCTGGAAGAGGAAGGAAGGAAGTGTTTTGAGGAGCTGGGCAAATGGATCAGCTGTGCAGCAGCTGCTGAGAGAACTGTCAGTGTGTTGAAGCCACCTGGAGGGAGGCCTATTGTGGCATGTAGTTTCAGAAACCTGGTTGAAGTATGTTGAAGGAGAGGAGAAGGAGCAGAGGCAGTGAAGACAACCAGGGTTAGGTTGTTCTTCCCCAGAGCAGACCCATACAGAAGGCCTCGGGATGCAGGTTAACGTATTGGTGTGCAACTGTCTCAAAATTCGGTATGGAACACTTTCACATGCTCGCATTTGTCATTTCAATTTTAAGAACTCATAGAAATAAATGTAAGAAGTGGAAATTTGAGTAAAATGTATGGGGACTGTGCAGAGCCTCTGCAGGGTCCTAGGGTCATGCAGAACGTATTTGGAAAGCTGTTTTAATCCTGAAGATTGACATTCTGGGATGAAATTTAGACTTTTGGAAAAGTTTTAAGAAAGGCGTTTTTAGGTTTTTGGAGGGAATCTTCCTAATGTATTTCAGATTATACTATATTCATGAAAGATAAGCATTTTTTTTTTTTGGTCTTTTTGAGACAGGGTCTCCCTGTAGCCCCAGCTGTCCTGGAACTCACTATGTAGACCAGGCTGGCCTTGAACTCACAGAGATCCGCCTGCCTCTGTCTCCTGAGTGTTGGGATCAAAGATGTGCACCACCACGCCCGGCATTACTTTCTTTTATCAAATGTTCTCCCTACCTTGAGATCTTTAACTGAAAGGGGTATTTCCACATGATGTTTTTTCACAAATGTTTGGTCCCAAACAGTGATAACTTTGGAGGTCATATTGTACTCTCTTGCAGGAAAAAAGAGTGCAAGATTTTTTTTTTTTTGGTCTTTTTGAGACAGGGTCTTCCTTATAGCCCCAGCTGGCCTGGGACTCACTGTGTAGACCAGGCTGACTTTAAATGCACAGAGATCTGCCTGCCCCTGGAGTGCCGGGATCCAAAGGCATGGACTACCAAGCCCAGCACAAGAGTCTTTTTAAAGCCCTTAAAACTTTAGTTTACTTTTTTCAAAAGTAAGATGCTCTGATTTAGTGTCTTATTTTTGGTAACTATATTTAAAAAAGTATATTTAAATGCCTTGAATTTTAGAGTAATCAAGTTTTTCTACTCAAGGCACTAATAAGCCAAAGCCTATATTTCTCTGCAGCAAAAAAATGATCTTTCACAAGAGAGATAAATAACTTTTCAAATCACAGAATATTTTTCTTTCTGTTGATAAGGAAATAGAGATTTGTTTTATTGACTCTAAGATGCTATTATGTATATAATGAAACCATTTTATATATTACTAAGAAAAAAAATGCTGCCATTTACAATTGCAAAGTACAGTAGTTTGGAGAAGATGTGAAAGTTTGGAGCACCAAAGTTCATCATGGAGTCAATGAAACATGGACTTTGAAGGCAAGGATCCATAAATTCTGGTGTTGCCTTTTTTTCCAATCAGCTAATGTCCCCTCCCTCCCAACCTGCCTTACAGCATCACAATGAGGATAAAATGAGATAAACAACCATTATTTTGACAAGTAGGCTTTACTGGGAAAATTCAAAGTATTTCTTTGATTTAAATTTAGGCTCTTAGATATTATTAAACAACTCAGAAAATTTCTTTTCTGAGCTTTGTTATCAGGTTTAAAATAGAATTTTGTTATAGATGTTTGAAAGGATAATATGATCTGCTAAGTGATTTTCATCCAGTTGGAACGAAGTTTCTTTTAGATTGTAGCTTTGAAAAGATAATATAGCCACATATTTTTATAACCCAGAAGCAACAACTATAAACATTTTGTTAGTGCTGTGATCGTTTATAAATTTATTCTGAATGCTCATGACATAAAAAGGTAAAAGAATATAGTAGCGAACATTCATATGCTTGGTATTGCCAGTATGGACAAAGGTTCCTTCATGGGAACAGTTTCTTAAATTTAGATTAGTGTTCCATCTTCATGCCCTTCTAGTGAGAAAATATTGCTTCTCTTGTTCCTGTATTTAAAATCTATAAATAATAAGTCATTTTTGTCATAGCCAGAAATATGGCCAAGAGTGCTATTTTATACTGATGTTGCCTTGATCTGAATTTCCCTATGGCTTTAGAGATCCAGAAGTGAAATGCAGAAATATGACATCTGTCAAGCTATAGTCATGGTTAACTTACTTGCCCAGACATTATGTCCAGATCCCTTTTGTGCATTTTCTTTTAAGTTTCACAACAATTTTTCAGGATGACTGTTTTGTACCTTAGGAAGGTTGTGGCTCAAAAGTTAACCAGGCTGCCCATTTCCACAGCTATGCAGTTGTGGAGCTAATGACTTTAATCAAGATCTGCCTTGTATCATCCCAGTATGTTTTGCTTAATGCTGCCTCAATACTTGTCAGTAATATGATTTGTTTCCTTTGTAGGCCGAACCCAGAGACTACATTTGAAGTATATGTGGAAGTGGCCTATCCTAGGACAGGTGGCACTCTTTCAGGTACTTTGCTTATTTAATTACATGATGTGTTTCTTTTTTTTTTTTTGCATGGGAAACTGAACACATGAGAAAATAGATGAGTACTGTAACTTATTTAAGTACATTTAAGTGCCTCTCCTCTTTTTTCATGCCCATATCATCCTAGGAAGACTGGAAAGTAAAAATATAGTCAATAGTTTGTTTTGAATCAACTGCCTAATAGCAGGCTTGAAGTGTGGTTCTAATCATTGTTGTTGGGTCTTGTTTAGCATCTGTCATCGATACCTGGAAGTCAGCTATTTTGGGTGAAATATGTGGCCTTGCTAATGAGCAGGGATTGGAATTAAGCTATAGGGTGCAAAATAATGAAAGGGAATTCTTTGCTACTAAACTGAAAAGATGCTTGAAATAGACTTAATTTAGCAAATCTCTGTTGGTAAAAGAAAATTGGAGACTAGTTAAGGAAATACTTGGGCAATGAGATCTTATATAAGGTTAGGGCATCTTGTGGAAGCTGTGTGCATCACTTCTTGACCTAAAATCCTTAGTTAATGAGAAAAATAACCATATGTTCTTTTTCTTGGTGCCTTTTGCCAAATATCAGGGACTTTTGGTCCACACAGCCAGACATTTGCATTTACTATTTGGTGTTTAGGGAGAATGAATTTACTTGCACTAGAAACTTGAAGTAGTCAATTATGCTCAGCGTCTATATTGTCAGCCTTTAACTATAACCCTAAAAGGTAGTTGAATGGCACCCTCATAATATCTATGAGAAAACAGACTCTCAGAGAGGTAAAATAACTGACTAAGGTCCTGTAGCTAGCTACTATGTGGGCTACCTAGGATTCTTGTTTCAAGTTCTCTTCATACTACTAAGTTGCATTCTTAGGGCAGTACCTACATTGATGAATCTCTCCATGTCACCTGCAGGCTTTGCACAGCTTCACCAGTATTTGTTAAAATGAAGGATTTTTTCCTCCATGTGAAGTATATTACAAATTTATGACTGTTCTTGAAATATTAAGTGAATACCTGTGTTAAGTTATGCCTCTAAGTGTGCAGGGAAAGCTCTGGACTTAGAAGCAAGTACTGGATCTGTTAATCAGGTGTGCGTGTAACTGCTCCTCCACTGGTTGACTTCAGTATCCATTTGATGACAGCTGTGATCGGATAGATAAATTCAAGGATGAATACTTTGCTTGTTTCTACAGTTGCTTAATTTCTCCTTTTCAGTGTTCTGAGATTTTTATCCAAAGCTAAAATTTAAGTATTTAAAAGTTATATAGCTAGGTATGGTGGTGTGTGTCTGTAATCCCAGCACCTAGCAGGTAGAGGCAGCAGGATTAGCTTTTTTGAAAACTTTTACTCTGAAAATATTTTGAAAAAGTTACTTGGACAGTTTGATGCTTATAGCTTTTTAAAAATGTTTTGCTGCATTTGTGTTATTACAAATACAATTTTTTTTTTTCTTTTTGAAGATGTGACTTTTTTTTTTTTTTTTTTCTATTTTTTGAGACAGGGTCTCGCTGTAGCCACAGCTGACCTGGATTCACTATGGAGACAAGGGAACTCTCAGAGATCCACCTACCTCTGCCTCCCAAGTGCTGGGATTAAAGGCATGTACCACCATCCCAGTAGCAGATGTGACTCTTTACCCCTAAATATTTCAGAGTTATGTATTCTGTTTTTTAGTTTTTTAATATTTTTTGGTATTTTTGAGACAGGGTCTCCCTATAGCCCCAGCTGTCCTGGAGCTTGCTATGTAGACCAGGTTGGCCTTGAACTCACAAAGATCTGCCTGTCTCTCTCCCGAGTGCTGGGATCAAAGGCATGTTCCACCATGCCTAGCTCAGAGTTATGTATTCAAAGAATTAGAATGTTTTCTTTGTAACCCTAGTCTAGGTATTGAAATCAGAAATTTCAAAATTATTTTTAAATTACTTATTTTTATTTTATGTGTATTAGTGTTTTGTCTGCATATAAGTATATCTGTGCCATGCAGTGCAGGTGGAGGCCAGAAGAGGGCATTGGAACCCCTGGAACTGGAATTTTGGGTGGTTGTTAGTCATAAAGTGGGTACTGGCAACTGAACTCCTCAGGACCTCTGCAAGAGTCGTCAGTGCTCTTAACTGCCGAACCATCTCTCCAGTCCCTGAAATCAGAAAGTTTAACATTGATGTAATATCAGGTGTCCATACTTTAATCAACTGCCTTGTATTCACAGAGATACGTCTGCCTCAGCTTCCCAAATGCTGAGATTAAAGTCTTAATAATGATCTTTATAACATTTTCTCTTTTGGTTTAGTGTTGAATACCAGATCATGGACCCCATTAATTTTTGTGTCTGTTTAGTTTCTTTCATTCTGGAATTATTTTGTAGCTCCCCTCTCCCCTTTGAATGACATGTTTTAAAAAACAAAAACAAAAAACCTAGGTCTTTTGTTGAGTGTCACTGGATTTTTTTTGGGGGGTGGTCTTTTTGAGACAGGGTCTCCCTGTAGCCCCGGGCAGATGGCCTGGAACTTGCTATGTAAACCAGGCTGGCCTTGAACTCACAGAGATCCACCTGCCTCTGCCTCCAAGTGCTGTGATAAAAGGCATGTGCCACTACGCCTGGCTGTGTCATTGGATTTGTATCTGTGTCTTCATGGCTGTGTATTTTTGGTAGAAGTCTCTCAAAAGTGATTTATGTGTCCTCAGTGTATCTTATCAGCAAGCATATGATATTTCTTTCATTATTTGTGGAAAAAGTACATAAAACTTATATGAGTTAACAAATAATATAAAGTGAATGAACATGTTATTACTATCCAGGCTAAGAAATAACATGGTGTACCCTATTTTATCCAAATACTAATCCTGGTAACAAAGATCCCCTTCCCTTACCCTATGCTATCCTTTTGGGAACCCTGTGTTACCCCTCCTCTGACAATGTGCCTTTGCATGGGGCAAGGAGTCACTGGGCCTCTAAGGCATGCTGCTAAAAGCTTGAATCCTTTTATCCTAGACCATTTGGAAGAACACAAAGTTTTAGCATTCCTTACCTGAATGGGACTGAACTTGTTTTCTAGAGTTTATGTATCTTGTCTAGGGTTTGTTCTCCTGAGGGTGGACTGTGCTACTTCTATATTCACTTAGATGGGGAGTAGAGTATGGGATAGAAATAGGAAGAGCCTGGACTTGTCGGTAGGGTACTTACATGTTTATACACAAGGTCCCTTGCATTGTGGGATATGGAATGGGCAGCAGGCAGTTGGTTAGTGGCCAGTGTTCCCTCTGCACTACTTTTCTGCATGAACCTCTTAAGAGTCCAAAAGGTTCATGGTGAAGCTCACTTTCCAGTTAGTTATAAAGATGTATTTGTCATGGTAGGAGGTAAAATATATTGAATAGTAGTAAGCTTGATTTATTACTTTTTATTTTTTGAGATAGGGTCTCATGTATCCCAGGTTGACCTCAAATTCATGATGTAGCTGAGGATGACCTTGCACTCCTGATTCTCTTGCCTATACCTTCCAAGTACTAGGATTACAAGCATACACCAGCATACCTAGCTATCTATAACTTTAAAATACTTAAATATTTAGACTTACAGTCTGAAGGACTTCTTGCTGGAGTCTACAAATGTTAGAGATTACCTTGCCTATACCCTATTGCTCCCTCCCTCCCTTTCTTCAGAAGTAGGCATTATCCTTTTCTGATAATCATTCCTTTGCTTGTGTTCATAGTTTTACTATATATGTATGCCTCCCTGAAGAAAATCATTTAATCGTTCTTGTTTCTGAGTTTTATAGATAGAATTATTTTGTGTGTAGTTTTGGTACTTTTTTGCTCAACCATGTTTGTGAGGGTCCTCCATGTTGTATGTTAACTGTAGTCAATCATTTTCATTACTGTGTGATAGTCCATAGAATTGTACCACAACTTTGTTATTATTATTTGGTGCTGGGGATCACTATTGAAGTTTCATGCCAGCTTTGGCTATTGTAAGTGCTGCTGCTGTGATCTTTCTGACACATGAATCTTGGTGCATGTAGACGTATGCTGCCGTAGATATATCACATCCCTGGTGACTGTTGTACTAACTTTTTCATAATTCATTGTGCTACTCTACATTCCTACCTGCAGTATTTGGTGATTCTGTCACTTTATAGCTTTATCAGTACTTGGGATAATTAGATTTCACTTTCGTCAATCCAGTAGTTGTTTTGATTTATATCTTCCGAGTGACCAATGAGATCAAGTGTGGTGTTTTGAATAGCTTAGTATATAGTACCTGTTCATACCTTTTACTCATCAAAAAACTTATTTGTAGGTGTGAGCACATGAATGTGGGTGTGTACTCCCATGCACTCACATGAGTATGTTGGGTGTCTTGCTCTATCACTTTTCACCTTATTCCCTGAAGACAGGGCCTTTTACTGAACCTGGAACATTTCATTTTGTCTAGGCTGCTGGTCAGAGTGACTCCTCCCACAAGCACATTGCTACACTATGGATCTTCTCCACACTTCCCTGCCGTTTTTTTGTTTTTTTTTGTCTTTTTGAGACAGGGTTTCCCTGTAGTCCAGCCCCAGCTGTCCTGGAACTCACTGTATAGACCAGGCTGGGCTTGAACTCAAAGAGATCCGCCTGCCTCTGCTTCCCAAGTACTGGGATTAAAGGTGTGTGCCACCACTCCCGGCTAATTGAGCTTTTTCAAACCTATAAATCTTAAAGATTTTATTGATTTTTGTTATATGTATGAATGTTTTGCCTGAATATATGTGTGCGCTCCACATGTGTGCCTGGTGCCTATGAAGGCCAGAAGAGGGTGTCCAATCCCCTGAAACTGTTACAGACAGCTTTGAGCTGCCATGTGGGTGCTAGAACCAAACTGGATCCCCTGCAAGAGCAGTAAGTGATCATAACTGCTGAGTAGTCTCTCTAGCTCACTTTTTAAGTGAAGTTTTTAACCTTTTCCTTGTTGGTTTATAAATTATATTTTATAGATATTGTCTGCGTACATGTGTCGCAAA